GGGCAAAACAGATTTATCCTGTGGAAAATCACCTTAGTCTAATGCCAGTCAAGGTAGATACTTGCTAATTCAAGTGCTGGGCAAAGAAAAAAGCAAATACTCAAATAACACCTTCTCCTGCCTTTTTTCCAGGCTATACATTACTTCTGACTCTCCCCAGCCCCAAGCAGCATAGGAGCAGCACCTCTCTCCTCTTTCTTCCTCTTCACACTTTGTGTCTGCACTACCCTAGGTCATCTCCACAGGCTGCAGTTCCCTCTGGGGTATCTGCCTGCTCCATGAGCTGCAGTGTGGATAACTTCTCCACCGTGGACTACCTTCTCTCTTCTCTCTTCTCTCTTCTCTCTTCTCTCTTCTCTCTTCTCTCTTCTCTCTTCTCTCTTCTCTTCTCTCTTCTCTCTTCTCTTTTCTCTTCTCTTCTCTTCTCTTCTCTTCTCTTCTCTTCTCTTCTCTTCTCTTCTCTTCTCTTCTCTTCTCTTCTCTTCTCTTCTCTNTTCTCTCTTCTCTCTTCTCTCTTCTCTCTTCTCTTCTCTTCTCTTCTCTTCTCTTCTCTTCTCTTCTCTTCTCTTCTCTTCTCTTCTCTTCTCCTCTCCTCTCCTCTCCTCATTCCCTGCATGCAGCCTTTTCTGCCCTTGAATATATCTCTCTGGAGGCACCACCATCCTGGCTGGCCGTGTGCTGTGGTGGGTCCGTCAGAGCCGGCTGGAGCTGAGCGTGTCTGGCAGGACACAGCCCCTGGTGTCCCCTGGCTGAGGCCTCTGCAGTCCTGGCTGCTGGTGCCTAGGCACTGCCACTGAAACCAACCCTATGGTTTCTTTTGTCTTTGAGTAGATACTTGAATGTTTTGGTTGACAGCCATGCCATCCTCTTTTGGATTAGGCAGCCGGAGTCCTCCAGAGAATCTGGCAGGTCTTAAACAAGCAGTAAGTTGCTGCAGATAATTGACAGATATTTTTGTTGGGAGTCAAGATGGTGGGTGACTCTTAAAGGATCAGAGTGGTATTTGAAAGCCAATGGCTTGGAAGGGATTTATGGTTCAGCTGCTGGAGGAGGGTTAAGAGGGGTCAGTGAAGCATAGAGTCAAGAGGGGATAGGACAAGGTGGAGACGAAAATGTATAGGAAATCAGGGCTTTCTGGTCCTGCTGCCTGAGTTGGAAAATGTGAGCCATGAATATTGCCTTTGGCAGAGGCAGCAGAAGCAGCTGCTCAGCCTAGCCCAAGCCCAGCCCCATCCTCACTGATGACAGAGGAATATGCAGGATATATTTCTGTGTATTACTGAGACTCATGACATAATAAGGTGTCGCTTGAAAAGTTCATCATAATTTGGTCCTTACATTCAGAGCTGATAAATTCAGTAAATGTCTGACTGAGCAATTATTATCAATACCTGACATGGTGGAACAAGCAAAGATGCAGCATTTCCATTATAAATTTTGCTCCTGTTTTCATTATGAGACTTTTACAAAATTAAAGCTACATATTTTCCTCGAAAGAAAGTGTGATTGTTCGTTGCATCCCAAAATAGTTCCATTTTCAGTTGAGTTACAGGTACATATTTTATATTTACACATAGATGGCATTGAAAATGTAGCCTGAAAAGGAAAAAAAATTGTGAAGCTGTGATTGTCTGAAAGTAATTGCAGTGGGATAATGTGTGCAAGTATCTTCAACTCGAGCAACAGCCAACTATGATAAGTTTTGTGATACTAGAGCATGGCAGAAATCTCTAATTTGAAACAACAGGCACATTCTGTGTCTTTGTTTGCAAACATACAATATACAAAGAACAGCGATAGACATCAGTAGAGGTTTGATCATGATTCATTGGAGCTTGTTCCTTCAATCTCCTAAGACACAAAGGTTCTTATTTGTTGAATAGAATTGATAATTTTTCAATTAACTTTTGAAATACGATTCTCTTTGTGATTCCAAAGTGTAGTATGCCTATCTACCACAGAAAATTTCTCAGGGAAAAGAAGAAGAGATGGAAAAAACTAATCTTTGAGGCACATGAAGACTATCTTGCAGTTTTTTCTAGAACTTGGTAATTGAGGTAATACTGGGTGTTCGTCACTAATAAAAATGGATGCATTTCCGTTAGATGAGTGAAATTATCCTGATTTAATTAGGTAGTGATCTGGCTTGTGCATGTTTACAGCCTTTATCCAATTTGCTAGCAAAGGTTAGTATCTTCTGATGTTGGTTACAGCGTCAAAGAAAGCACAGAGCCCAGACCCTGCCTTACATTTCTTGCAAGTGGCTGACCAAGTGAATAAAATAATTTTCCAAAAGCAAGGCGTAATGGTTTTTGACTAGGCTTACGTGCAGCACAAAATTTTAAGCTGCCACATTTGTTATTCTGTATTTAAAGTTCATAATAATAAGCCTATGTTGTGATTATGGCTTCTGCTCTTTTTCTAACTTGCTGCAAATTTAAAAACATGGCAATAATGAATCACAAATAGCAAACAGTCTTTTTACATCCAAGTGCGTTCCTTCTTTACACCTTCTTTGAGCTGTTCTTCCAGATAATGTTGAACTGAAATCTGTTAATACCTATCATAGTAAGTAATAAGTGTAGTCAACAGTCCAAGCTGAATACTAGAAAACAGTTTATATGGACTAACCCTAAATTTCCAGGAAGAGGAGATACAGCACTTTTTTCCTTCCAGTTGCTCTTCTTCTTTCTAGCACCTTTTAAATTTACACTCCCAGTACACCTTTCTGCAGCAAATTTTATTTTCTCTGTGTGAAGAGAACTTCTGTAAATGATACTCATCTTTGGAGTCCGACGGGTAGAAAGGAAGATAGACTAGTTTGCATTTTCAAATATTTTCTTTTTTTATCTGTGGCTGGAAGAAGGCTGAATTTAGAACCTGAAGACATTGCTTACAGCTTGAAATAAGCGGAGCAGAATTGTGTTATGCTGAGCTTGATGAAGAAAGTTGAAACAAAGCCAGCATCAGTTGTTGGAAAAAATACTCTTGATATGTTTGGTAACTGCCTGAATGAGTTTACCAAGTCTGCAAATGAATAGGATACATAAATGTCGCCAAAAAGGGACTTGCCAGGGTCTACTGACTAATACTTAAGTTCTTTAAATTATTTTCTTATTAGATACTATGATACTAAGCTGGAATAAAAAAGAAAAAATAGGCCCAAATTCAGTGAAATGACTAAGTTCATATTTAAAATAACCATATGCATAATATTGTTGGCATGTTCTTCACATCTGCAAGACTGATCCAAAGACTTTTGGGATTTGGTAAAAATTAAAATGTCACAAAGTGACCAGATATGACGTATATTAATTCTACTGATAACTGAAACCTGCAGAGCTGTAGCCCAAGTTTTTACAAACTTCTGAGCTGCAAAAAAAAAATTGTATAAATACAAGAGGATTCAATATACTTTGCATATTTCTTTTAAAGGTCCAAACCATATTATACCAGTTGTCAAAATTGCTAGTTCCTAATTTTTTTCTGGGGAAGCAAAAGAAATGCATCAGCTAGCAGGAAATTGGGTTCTCAGTTCACCACCTTCCTTCAGAGGAGATAATAATTTAATACTAACACAGCATCCATAATTTCGTGGTAAATCTCCATCATTGGGATTCTCAAATAAAAGCTGAACTGACTGTATACATAAATGGCCTTGTTTTATCAGAGGTCAGGTGGGAGCTTCCAAACTTCATGTCTATATAATTTATAATATTTTCTATATAAATGATCATGAAGCATTACAAGAAAATAATAATTTTGTATTAAATTACTTAGCAGTATCTCTAAAGCCTACCTTAAAAATGCATCCAGCTTAACCAATATTATCAAGCTGAATGTTTTGAGCTATTTTTACATCCATGTTCAGATATAATTCCTTTCAGTGGTGTGCCTTGAATATTTACTTGCAACATGCCCGGGTCCATAGAAAAGAACAAAAGCAACCAACCTCAAGTTATCTTTCTTCCCTTTTCTTTTTCATGCCACGCCCTTCTCCAATATCATTTTGGTTGCTAACAACAGGACTGAAGGACACCCTGTTGCATGGATTATGGAAAGGGCATATGCCACCAGCATACACAGAACTGCAGTTGCATGAGCTCAAGTCAGTTGCACGCAGAAAATAAACTTCTTTATCCATTTTCTTTTCTTTCTTGTTGCAGCATCTTCTTGTAACTGCCTGTTTGGCAAATATAATTTTGAAGTTGACAGTATCCTTCTAATTTGGAATGCAGGGGATTTCTAGTATTTGGTTTTGAGTCTGCTGGTTCATTCTTTTCACATTACTAAGATTGTCAAAACATGAGTGCACATAAAATAGTTTCTTCAGCTGTGGAAATGTCATGGAAGATGGTATCACTATAAACAGAAAGAATAATCAGAATTATGATTATTGAACTGTTTTAGTGCTAAACTTCCATGTGTAGGTAGTTTCTGTCCTATTCAGTAAATTCTATACAACAGGTTTTGCCAAGTGAACCTTTTCCCTCTATAGCATTAAATAAATTTAAATTTCTCATTTAAACAGTTTTTCCGTTTGAAACAGGGCTTTATGCTTATTAAAATTAATGATAAAATTTCACTTCACCACAGCAGGACAAAGCATAAGTTAGTGAGAATGCAAAGTGGTGTGTGGTTTAAAGAGCAAAAATACTATGTATTTTTCTTACTTGGACAGCATTCTTTTGAAGTTATTCAGGGATTTGGAGACAAACTTTTGCTATTTTTTTAAAGTATATTGTTTAATCTTTATACTACTGCTAATCAAACTCAGGTAATTCAAATAGAAACCATACATTAACTCGATAAGGACATTGTTCAATTTCATTTGTTCTTGCAACGTCCTGTCCATTTTATATTAATAGTTGGTTTTATCTCCTGTGCACATATTAAGTCAATATTTATTAAATTAGTTTTTCAGATTATGAAAGGGGATTTACTTGTTTGCTTGTCACCTTGTCTTGATAACTGCATATTGATTTCTTCTTTATGTATAGGATATGATGCTTCAGCTGTTTCGGGGACTGGATTTTCTGCATTCACATCGTGTGGTGCATCGGGATCTGAAACCCCAAAATATCCTTGTAACCAGCAACGGGCAGATAAAGCTGGCTGACTTCGGTCTTGCACGAATCTACAGTTTTCAGATGGCTCTTACCTCAGTGGTAAGTTTCTGAAGGCTTTTATTTTTCTCTTAACATAGCATTGTTAACCATGTGTACAACTGAAGTTACTTGTGTCTCTGAAAACAATTGCTTTCCAGCAAGGATTGAAGTTGTGGTGATTACGTTGTACTGTTCAGTTACTGACTACTGGCTCTAAATTAAATCGTGACTGATTACAGAGGGATAAGTATGTGCTAGGTTTCTGAAACTCTTGTCAGTCAAGCTGTAGTAATACTGACTTCCATTGTAAACTAAGTCAACAGGTGTGGTTAAAGTTTCTGAAGTACCATTTTAAGATAAAGCTCTTGCTGAATTCAGGTATTTTGCCTGAAAAAAACCCCACAGATACTTGTGAAAATGCCACACCATCGTGCTCTGATTTTCCACCTCTGTGAATATGCATTCAGTGGTTCCTTCCATATGTTACTGTGTGATTCCAAATAGGTTGTGCTGGAGGAAGCTCAAGTGGACCTGGCAGCTAAAATCACAGCTGTTTTCCAAGCCAGCTGTTAAAGAGCAGCCTGAGTATCACCAGGTCTCCTGCAACTGTTGCCCCTCTCCCACCAGCTCTCCTGGCTGTCCTTGGCTCAGACATGAGCTCACTTGCAGATTTAGCTTTCTCCTCCATTAATACTGGAGAAACCCTGCCAGCTCCTTGCTTTTTGACCCCATTTCCACGCTTTCTGGCTCTGCCCCCAGAATGAACTGCTGTAGCTTGGCACAGCATCTCTGGAGCATATTGAGGAGCTGCCATGCTGTGTGCATGTTGGGTATCTTTGGGGTTTGTTGCCTGCTCATGATTTTTGTGTTTCCTTTTTCTATTCTGAGTATCCCAACTGCCATGACAGTAACTCTTCTGATAAAGACAGAAAAGGCAGAATTGTTGAAAAGAGAAACTGAAAGGATTCCACTTTGCATTTTACACCGTATTGTTAAAATTAGCCTGGCTTGTTGATAAGAAGCAATTCGTTTTTATTATTAGCTAGTGCAAGGGTCTTCCCATTGTCATGTGATGTAACTATGGGCATCTGGCTTCAGAGTGAATGAAGGCAGGAAACAGCAGAAAATTATATCATCTTGCTAAACATAGGGAAGTATCCTTGTTGCATAAAACATATGCAAACCTGTGTTTTAAGGCTAGTTTTTTTTACTGTCTGTAGGATGTAGTCTAATCCAAAGGTGAAAGAATCTGGCTGCTGAAATCAGGTAAGATTGGCCATGTAACTCAAAGCAGAAGAAAAGGAGAGAAAGGTTCTTCCTGACTTGCTCTTATTTTCTTTCCTAGCTACTGGTCAGTATCAGCTTCAATGAGTATTTCTGTTGATGCATAAAATCATTTAAGCTAAAATTGCGGAATGTTACAAGGTTTCCAGCAGAACATATTTGAAAAGTTCTGCATGCAATGAGGAAAAAATATCTACAGAATTTAGCAGAAGTTTTTCCATGACTATGACCATGTAGCCTTCTTAGCCTTCCTTCTTAGGAAGGAAGTTTAAAACACCCAGAAATCTACTACAGCAAAACAGAACATTGCCAGGATTGCTTTGTAAAGTATGTGCATTTGCTCAAGTATAATAATACTTGCATGCTAGAAATCATGTGTTAAATCCCATAAGCTGGTGCTCTTGGTGCTGTTGTGAACAAGAGGTGTTCAGCTTAAGGGATTATCCACATGCAAGTTTGTACTGTGTTCAGATAAGCATCCAAGCGTCATTGCAGCTAAGCTAAAGAGTATTAAAATAGTTGAAAATTATCCTGTGATCAAGGATAAATCAACTATATGGGCGTAGACGCAAGTAATGGCTTTCACACCTAAAACTTAGTGTGTCATTATTTTATTTTTAAAAAACCCAACTATGCTTGAATATGGCCTTTTTAAGTTAAAAAAAATAATAGTTTAAAAGTTAGTAAATGTTTTAAAACAGTTTTCAACATCTTCAAAATAAACTTGTGTCTGGGTTTATAGGGGTGTGTTGCTCAGAATGTGGTATGGTTTTAAATGTCAGTCGTCCCTGCTCCTGCAAACTGATTGCAGGTTAGAAACTTTCATTAAATGTGTTTTAGCTATCAATTTTCCTTTTCTGATTTTAACTTTTGCCTTTGGCTAGCTGCTTAGATGTGCAAGTGCTGCTTTTTTTTTTACCTCCACTGAAACTTAGTACAGGAAACACAGCTAAACAAAACAGCTCCAACCCCCCAAACTTCTGGTTTTTAAACAGAAAGACATTCTTGACTATAAAATCCCAAAAATAGTCTAAATAGCAGTTGTTCACCAGGCAGTGAGTAAACTTTCATGGACTTCAGCAAGACCAGTTTATTTTGAAGCATTTGCAGAAAAAAGTGTTGCATTATAAAAGACAGAATATATCTATATATCTATACATATATCAATTAATAAAAGTCACAGCTTGCAAAGATTTGCTTCGGATAGTGATAGTGTAGACAGCTCAGTGATAAAAGACTATCATTGTGATCAATACAAGAGCTCTGCAGCGTTTCCTTCAGAGGAGAAGCTTACTGCAAGATAAACTGCAAGAACCATCTTTTGAAGTATCAGACCATTCCCAAGATGCATCCTCATTCATTGCTCACAAAGAAACTCTTCGGATGGGACAAAAAGAGCTTGCCATGAAAGTAGCCCTGTAAAAATTGATCCAGCCCAAGTGCTGTGGGTGCTGCAAATGTTAACTTCAAAGCAGTCTCTCTCTAACAGCCAGTTATTTACACAATGCTGAAGAATCCTTCTGGCAGGTAGTCCCGGCATCCTGCTGTCATTTAAAGAAACCTCTTCATATTTCTGTCAGTGAATGAGTGAATGAGTGAATGAATGAATGAATGAATGAATGAATGAATGAATGAATGAATGAATGAATGAATGAAAGATTCCAACTAATGTTACACAGGCTGGGGGGCCAGGGTGGAGATCACTGCTCCCAGCTGTGTTCAGACTGAGACCTGATACAAGTCTGAAATAGCAGCACTAGAAAGAATGAGGTTAGGTGGGAGTGGCTGAGCTGGTGGGTAATAGGGCATGCTTTTGGTTTCGTGCAAAGTTAGACTCTTTTCCAAGTGCTGGACTTGGCCCTTGGGGAAATTTTGAATAGGCCTTGTAATAACAGAGACACTCCATAGGACAGAGGAGGTAGATTGATGTGACTGTAATTTTAGAGTTGGACAGCAAAAGCTAATGAACTGTCACATTTTTCCTGGTGCAGAAAAATGGGCACTCAGTTCTAACTTTATCTGAGCAAAGGAGTAGTTGGGTGTCTGGAAAATCTGAAGTTGTATTATCAAAAATGAATAATCCATTTATCTATTTCTGATGACTTTAGACTGCATTAAAGAAAGGAAATGAAGCTGAATCATGGCACACAAGAATGTTAAGTGAGATAAGTGCATGCAGTTGTGGTCAAAGCATCTAGGTGGAGCTGAGACCATCCAGCTCTTAAAACCTGGCCTGCATCAGGATCTTGAGTGAAACTGTCAAAATGTTAGTGTTTGTAACACATTTATAATACTTTCTTTGAAAATATGTGTACTTTACCTTAGATGTCAGCACTACTGAGGGAGTTTTTTGCCCCATGGAATGCCAACAAAATTGGTTTATGTCTTCCTTTTTTAGAAAAAACACTTGTTTTCAGATTTACCAAACAAAGAAGGGAAAATACTTTCTCTGCTGATGCTGTAAGTTGTTGAGTACTAGACCCAACTAAATAGATTTTCTGAAAAGAGAGGACACAAAATACCCTGCAGTTGCTTTCAGTAAATAATTTTAGATTATGCTAGCATTTTATTTGAGTATTTCTTCAGCATGAAAACTTTCCATCCATTTCTGGCAGTCACTTCAGCGCAAATGGTTTACATGTCACATCATGCAAGAATTTGGATTTCATTTTGTTGGTATAGTAGCAAGGGAGCATAAAATAATTTTCACTAATGGGGCTTATAAGTTAGTTACAGCAACAAAAACAACACCAAAAAATTACAGAAAAACTCTCTTCCAAAGACGAATGAGTACTTCTGTGTTTCCTGAGCACTGTTGCATGGTAATGTTCCAGTAAATGCACCCCGTTAGTAAATAATGTAAATGTAAATGCTTGTCTGAGGCAATATGATTGATGAGAACTCAGACAAAGAAAGTTTCTTGCTTTGCCTTGTTTTTTGTCATTTTTTCCCACTTTTTGTGGCCACCTCTTCCAAGCTTCTTGCAGGGCAGCTTTAACCTGAGATCCATTGAGGATCCCTAAATGGACCTGGTTCAGCAATCTATTTAAAGCTCACCTATGGAGAGACCTAGGGAAATTAGGTAGCCACTTGCCACTGGTTAAACTAAGTGTTAAAGAGTGTCCTAATGATATCAGTACAAATCAGTACAGTGATACTTGATTTTATCTCATGCATGATTTAAGAAGGTCATAACTCTTCCCCCTCTGACAGGTGGAAGTTGCAGTGTTTTGGGATGCCCTTCACTGTTGTGAGGAAGCAGGTCTACTGACATCTGGGCTCTCATCTCCAGTTCTTTCATTATGGTGCATTTGTCTACTCCACTCAGATGTCCCTGAAATGAGATGCAGACAGACATCCAGTGGATCCAAATATGTGGGTTTGATCTTGTCAGTGCTGCTGCTGAGCTTTTGTGGCTATTTAGAAGTGCAGTAAGATCAAAATTGTTGTCTTATTTAAGGAAAATCTTCTCTTCCCTACTAATACATAGTTCTGCATAAAAAGTCCAAGTGTCTGGCTTTGTGGAAAAATTAGTGAATTTTTCTGATATTTTAACATCTGGTGTCATCTTTATTGCATCCTCCCAGTACCCTCTAGGAAGGTTATTTCCATCACAGAAAATGAGTCATTTATCTCTGGAGTCATCTTAAGAACGAAAATCATTATCAGCATGTTGACTGTAAGGTCTGAAGATTACTAAAAACATTTTAAGATATATATATGATGACTTGGCTCAGATGAGATTAGATTTATATGAAGACCAGATTTATATGAAA